TGCTTTCAAACGCGACTGGACGTCCCTCTTGCATCAGCACGCCCCCTATGGCAAAGTCTGATGCATCCGTATGCACCTCATACGGCTTGGCATGGTCTGGCAAGGCCAAGACTGGCTCCTCGGTCACAGCCCGCTTCAACCTGTCAAAGGCTTCCTGGCACCCTGCGCTCCACTCCCATGCTCTCCCTTTCTTGAGCAAGTCAGTCAATGGCGTGGCTATTGCTGAGTGACCCTTGATGAAGCGCCTGTAGTAGTTAACCAGCCCAAGGAACGATCTCAACTCAGTGACCTTGGCTGGCGGTTGCCACTCCAGGATGGCGTCTATCTTGCCTTCATCCATGCGTATCCTGCCACCTCCCACTATGTGGCCAAGGAATGGGATCTCCTGCTGGGCGAACGAGCACTTCTCCCTCTTGACAAACAGCTTGTGCGCCCGCAACACCTCGAACACCTGTCTCAAGTGGTCTACATGCTCTCCCAAAGTCTGGCTGTAGATCACAATGTCATCCAAATAAACCACAACAAACCGATCAAGGAATGACTGAAGTACCTTGTTCATAAGGGTGCAGAATGTTGCTGGGGCATTCGTGAGTCCGAAAGGCATCACCAAGAACTCATACGAACCATACCGAGTGACACATGCTGTCTTTTGCTCATCTCCCTCTGCGATCCTAACTTGATAATAGCCTGACCTCAAATCCAGCTTGGTGAACCACCTTGCGCTCCCAAGTTGATCGAACAAGTCCGCAATGAGTGGGATGGGGTACTTGTTCTTGATGGTCAGCTTGTTCAAAGCCCGGTAGTCTATGCACAGCCGCAATGACCCATCATGCTTGCGCTGGAATAGAACCGGTGCACCATAGGGTGCTTTCGATGGCCTGATGAAGCCAGCATCAACTAACTCCTTGAGCTGCTTCCTCAACTCCTCCAACTCTGGTGGAGACATTCGGTAAGGGGCTCTGGCTGGTGGCTTGGCCTCGGACACCAGCTCGATCTTATGGTCCACCTCCCTCTTAGGTGGTAGCTTGCTAGGCAGCTTTGCGGGCATCACATCACTAAAGGTCTTCAGCACCTTTAGCACCTCCAAGGGTGACTCGGTCTCCTTCTCCCTTGGCTCATCATATTTCAGGGCTACCAAGAAGGTGTCTTCTTGTCTGCTTACCGCCTTGGCAAATTGGATGGCTGACACCACCCGTGACCCAACTCCAGACCCTCTTCTCAATGGTACTAGGCATTGGCACCGTGCATCCAAGATGCAAACACAATCGGCAAAAGGCACAAGGAGGGCGTTAATCCGAACAAGGAAATCCAACCCAATCACAAACTCATAGTCGTCAAGGGGTATTACCTCAATGGTCTCCTTGCCTTTCCAATCTCCAAGCTGCAACTCCACTCCCCGTGCTACTCCAATGGCTGGAACTTCCTTGGAGTTCACTGTCTTAATGGTACCAGTCCCTTTCTGCACCTTTAGTCCGAGCTTCCGGGCTCCATCACCTGAAATAAAAAGATGTGAGGCACCTGTGTCCACCAGTGCGCTCACCTTCTGACCCGCAACCATCAGATCCGCAAACATCAAGCCCTTTGGCTTGCGGCTCCCCTTACTCTGGACAGCATTGAGCACCAACGACCCAAGCTTTGCTGCCCCTGACTCTGGCTCCTCGTCAGACTCCCTGTCTACAGCAGCCAGCTTGCCCTTCTGCGGGCAATTGCGTGCTATGTGGCTCCCTCCACATAGGTAACATGCTAGTGGCTCTCGGTCCCCCTTTGCTTTCCACTTGCCTGTTGATGGCTTCCTCTCGCCATCCTTGGTTGAACGGTCTCGGTCTCCATCCTTGGACTCCCGGTCACGGTCCTTCCCATTGGACTGCTTCTTCCGGTCCCTATCGTCCCTGCCCTTACCCTTGGGCTTGGTAGACTCGAACTTGTTCAGAGGCTTGAACTCTATCAACGCCTCGGCAGTGGTCATGGCTTTAGCCAAGTCATGAACTCCCCTCCTTTGTAGCTCATGCTTCACCCACGGCTTCAGCCCATCCATGAAAGCAAAGAATGCGTCCTTCTCGCCTAGATCCGAGATCTGTAGCATCAGTTCAGAGAATTTTTGAACATACTCTCTTATGTTCCCTTGCTGGCTCAACCTGCGCAACTTTGCCCGTGCCTCATCATCGGCATACTCCGGGTAAAATTGTTCTCTGAACTCTTTTTGGAACTCTGCCCAGGTTCCAATCTTGGCGTTCCCACGCCTGACATCATCACACCTGCGCCTCCACCACAATAAGGCTACATCAGTGAGATACATAGCAGCGGTGCTTACCTTTATCGCCTCGTCTTGCATGCCCATGGCCTGGAAATACTGCTCCATACCCCAAAGGTAATTGTCTACTTCCTTGGCCGCCCTAGTCCCCTTAAACTCCTTAGGCTTGGGGACATCCAATCTGGATCTGGACACTCCAGCAAACATGCCATTCCCAATGGCAGTCTTGCAAGTAACGAGCTCACTGGTAAGCTCCTCCATCCGCTGGCGCATGGCCTCCATGCCATCTCGCAAAGTCAGAACTTCCGCCTCCAAGGATTCATTCTTTCGGGTGATCTCATCCAGGCCATTGTTGAGAGCAGCTGCTAGCTCACTTTGGATCTCCTCCCCCATGGAGTCTAGCGATGCAATGTGAGTTTCTACTTCCTCCAGCTTCTCCCCCATGTCGCCTATGGTCACCTCCACCTTGGCCAGCCTACCGTCCATGGTAGACCAGATATCTCTAGAACCAGCTTTCTTGCCTCTTCCTCGCCCATGCTCCTGGGCCTCTGGTTGTTGGCTAGCAACGTCGCTTTGGGATGCCATCTCCTCAATCACGATCTAACCTGCACAACACAAACACGCAGAATCGAACTTGCTCTGATACCAACTGTCACGGGCTCCGACCTTAGACTCAGAATCCGTGCGGCCTTAGGCTTGGAATCTCGTCCTTGATGCCTAAGTCAGCCTAAAACACAAGCGTGCGGGCACTAGAACAAAGGGAAGGGCTGATTACGCAAGTTAAAGAGAAACAGGACAGAAAAACAGAATTCTGGAAATGCTCTTGTATTCACTGAAACAGAAGTGTTTGATGGTGTACAAATGAGGGTGGAGCAGCCCTCTATTTATAGTTGAGGCTCCAGCTACAACTTAATGGCAAATCCCTAAAATAAAGGCTACAATCATGGGATTACATTTAATCAAGATGCTGGTTCCTGATTTTCAGGGTCAACCAAATCTGCCAGGATGCTGATGCTGATCCTGCCTGGTTCCAGAAGCTTCCCTTGCGTATCCAGCACCTCGGGCCCTTCTGGATGTGGTGCGGGCAGCCCAAATGCCAGGCCTTGGTCTCATGAGTTGGCCTGCAAGATGGGCGGGCGTTTGGAGCTCGTTTGACAGGCTTTGCGCACTGATACCCGCCAGCACGCCTGGTCTGCGGGCCTTAGCTGCTGGCTCGCCTGCTGGTCTGGCTGATGTGCCTGGCGCGCCCGCCCAGGGCGTGACACTTGGACTTGAAGTAGATTTTGGGGTTGTGGCTGAACTCTAGATTGTCTTAGTAACTGAACTGATTTGGGTTGTGTTTGAGATCGTTCTAGGAGTGGAAGTAGAGTTCAGGATTGTACCTACAGCTGAGGCAGAGTTCGGGATTGTACTTGCAGCTTAGGTAGAGTTCGAGATTGTACTGGTAACTCAGGTAGAGTTCGAGATGGTACCTGCAGCTCAGGTTGAGTTCGAGATCGTACCTGTAGCTCAGGTAGAGTTCGAGATCGTACCGGTAGCTCAGGCAGAGGTCGGGATCGTACCGGCAGCTCAGGCAGAGTTCGAGATCCTACTGATAGCTCAGGCAGAGTTCGGGATCGTACCTGCAGCTCAGGTAGATTTCGAGATCGTACCTGCAGCTCAGCCAGCCGCTCAGATAGAGTTCGAGATTGTACCGACAGCTCAGGTAGAGTTCGGGATTGTACCGGCAGCTCAGGTAGAGTTCGGGATTGTACCGGCAGCTCAGGTAGAGTTCGAGATCGTACCTGCAACTCAGCCAGCCGCTCAGATAAAGTTCGGGATTGTACCAACAGCTCAGGTAGAGTTCGGGATTGTACCGGCAGCTCAGGTAGAGTACGGGATCGTGCCTGCAGCTCAGGTAGAGTTCGAGATTGTGCTTGCAGCTCAGCCAACCGCTCAAGTAGAGTTCGGGATGGTACCGGCAGCTCAGGTAGAGTTCGGGATTGTACCTGCAGCTCAGCCAATAGCTTAGGTAAAGTTCGGGATTGTACTGGTAGCTCAGGTAGCTCAAGTGGAGTTTGGGATTGTGCCTGCAGCTGAAGCAGAATTCGAGTTCGGGATTGTACCTGCTGCTCAGGTAGAGTTCGGGATGGTGCTTGGACTTGAAGTAGAGTTTTGGATGGTGCTTGGACTTGAAGTAGATTTTGGGATTTAGGTTGAACTCTAGATTGTCCTGATAACTGAACTGATGGTGATTGTCGCATATTTTGGTAAGTTGCGCGATGATGTAGGCAGGCAGGTTATTGTGGGACGAAGCTGGCCGTTGCTAACAGGGTGATATCTAGAAATTAGAAGATGAATCAAGCTCTTGTTCTTTTATTCTACTAAATTAAGATAAATCTGCCAAAGCATGAAATAAAATTAAACTAAAAAACTAAGTTGTATTTTCTCTCGGTTTTCTCTTGAAATGAGGAGAAAAGGAAGGAATAAATAAGAAGCCTCTTAAATGAGACCCAAAGGAAATTGGCGATTGATTGATTTCATATGTGCTACGCACCATGAAGCTTCCCTTCCCTCTTTTCTGGTTTCTATTAATTTTAATAATAGTGTTTCTTAGCAGTATGAATTTGACTTCTTTTTTCAATTTGCAGTTTTTGACTTTTGCTATACAAGAAGAATCTTACAGCTTTCCCTCCACTTTCCATATACTTTGTTTAATTAATTTAATATTTATATTTATACAAAAGGAATCTTACAACTTTCTCTCAACTTTACATATACTTTGTTTTATTAATTTAATTTTTATATTTATATTGTATAAAATATAAAATATATTTACACGAGGAATCTTACGGCTTAAAACAGTAGGTCGATCCTTTTGTAGCGGAGGCAATTGCAGAAGTGGGAGCATTAGATTTAGCCTTTCCTTTGATATGGGATTTCAGACGATAGTACTAGAAGGAGATGCTTTGGCTGTTATAAAGAAGCTGCAGTCAGGGGAACCAGATTTCTCTCCCATAGGAATAATTATGGATGAGGTAAGAACCAAAGTGAAACGATTCTCTACTTGCTCTGTAATGCATATAAAACGAAGTGGGAATGGAGTAGCATATCAACTAGCAAAACGCGGCCTTGGGATTAATGGGATATGTACCGTACAGGATGTCCCAAATTTTAACATTATGTACTAGCAAAATCAGCTTAGATTTTATATCCGAAACCTTTATCAAATCGACACCTACCAAACCTCGTAAAGTAACTTTATCGGAAGGGGTAGCTCTCCTTTTTTTTTTTTTTTTTTTTTTTTGGAGCTGATGATGCGATGTTAGTGTACTTTCCCAATTCTTTATCTACTCACCCACATGCCACAACTGAAACCTGAGAAATTCTATAATAGTCGCCTTGCTTCCTTCATTAAATATAATCGCAGTTAAAATGTAAAAGGGTCCATTAAGACTATCTCAGCTTCACCAGTAATTTCACAAGAATTCATGCTAGTTTATTCAAATTCAAGTAGCAACATTATTGCAGCGATTCAAATTTAAGCCAAGAGCATCCTTGCCTTGCACCTTTATAAAGAATGGTGGCGCCCATCTTTTTCACAAATCCCAGCAGCCATGCTCTATGTTTTGCTAACCAGCCGGCTGCTCTATTGCCTTTGCAAGAGCAACAGAGTGACTGTTGAAGGTCTTGGCCAATGACAAGAAGCAAATACAAATAACCCAAGCCAAAGACTCCATTGCTCACTTCTCATGTCACCCAGTCTGCGTCACTCATCATAATCTCCTTAACTCCATAATCATTCACAAGCTCCAGCCTGGATACAAGATAGCCCATGGTTTCCAACATATGTAGTCCTATGACCATGACCAACTGTACTTTCTGTATTTCCTTGGCTTGACTGTTCCAAGTATTGCTTCAATATTTACCAAACTCAATGTTGTGGTTTCCATCTTTACTTGAGTTAGAGCACTGGTCCATTGGCTTCCAACCATCACTGCATCATATTATCTAGAATGCAAAAGGATTGTATTCATCTGAGATATCATTCAGTCTCTATAATACTTCTTTCCCACTCAAATACACCAGAGTTCTCTACATCTTGCAGTGATAACTCCCAAAAATCTGAAGACTTCCTCCAAAGCATATTTGAGATCATCAATAACAGTGTTTGGCAGGCATGAAGCTCATCAATCCTCTCCAAACCAGTCAGTTCAGACGAATGATCCTTCCATGGCTGGTCAAATGACCTGTATAAAGAGTACAACAAGGCATTTTAGTTTTCCTGGAAGCGCGGTAGCACAAATATCAAATGAACTTCATCAGGAAACAAGCAAGGAATATGTAGCATAAATAATAAAACCAAACATAACTTCATTCAATCTCCACCCCCGCACCCCCCTTTTATTTATTTGGAGGAAATATGTGTGTATGTGCAATTTACTAGTTAGTATAAAAGCACCCCAAGAATTCATATTGCAGCTCTTTGAATGAACAGCCATACATTCAGAATTTTTTCAAATACTTTCCATGGGAAAGAACCCAATAGTAAACGCCACCAATTCAAAAGTGCTGTCAATTTGATTTATCAAATAACTCAACAAATTAACAATATAAAAAAACAAACAAAAAAGGTTAAAGCTAACAAGGGAGTATGAATAAGTCAGAATATTTGTCTAGGGCAGGAAATGAAGCTAGGTCTTCTGAGTAGGCTTTCCGGCTTTACTTATTACTTGCTTTAACCAAATCTAGCCAAATGTAAGATACGCTGCCCTAAGGAAACAAGCCCAAGCAGCCTGAAGTTGGTTTTATTTTCATATTAAACAAACAATGGTCCCCTCTCTGTTTGAATCTGATGAGTGTGGGAATTGTTTTTTTTTTCAGGCTAATTTTTTTTCTTCCATCTGCAAATCAAAGAGTTGGATTATGGCATTTTGCTTTTTTTTTTCATCAAGGAAAAAAGTGAAAAAATATTGCCAAAATAACACCATGACCCAAGCTCAAGCTTGATAATCCAACAAGCCAAATACAAAGAGGATTAATGAAGCTAAGCTTGAGCTAAAGCCAGAGTCTGAAGATGCCCCAGCTATGATGAAGCCAGACCTCACTAAACAATTAATCAACTGAAGTCAGCCCAATTGCAGTTACCAAGTGTGCTATCACATCTTAACAAAACAGCAAATAAAATTATCATAAAAGCAAATATGGAGCGATTTACCATCTCCAAGCAGGATTCAATTCAGGAGGGCAGCGTATCCTTGAACACAGGGTCACCATTGAAGTCCTAAAGCCAAGCATGAAGTCCAATCCTGATTGAGCAGAAATCATGAAAAGGTTAGAAATGAATCAAAAAAGAATTCCATAAAAGCATAAAAATTATTTTGGAAATTGACGTACTCTCCAGGGAAATTTTTAGTAAACCCACTGATAAAAATAGTACCTTTATCCCAGGTAAGGAAAATAAACAATTAAGAAACGCTATAGCAGCTAAGGTTCAACATTACAAGCATACAAGTCAGACACCAGCAGATAGAGCATCTATCCTTCAAGCCAAAATAGTTGACAGTGGCATTATTGGGTAAACCATATGTTTCTAAGTACACAAGAGCACCCTTAAACTAATTCAGAAGCCCTACAATCAACAGGGAATGGCTACTACATGCTTTCTCAAATTGTAAGAACGTGTTTTTTTTTTTTTTCCTCAAAGGCTATATCATTAATTAAGTATTGGGTTCAACTGAAACAAAAGGAAACATAATTGTAGTCACTCTCTTAACCCACTTGCCATTAAATTATATCACATTCATATTTAGGCCTATAAGTGCCCATTCCTGCCACACATCCACCAATGCCATAGAACACATGGATCTTGTATTCTGTTATCCGCTTCAACCATCATAAAATGCCAAAATGAATCCAGAAAAATATTTAATATCCACCACCTGTCACTAAGTTCACAACATCTAGCATTAATTAGTGTTGACAGATTATGTATCAAATCATGATCAATTTCCTGATTTGTTGGGATTTATATTTCTGGTCTTTTATTTGTTTCTATGTTTGGATGATTGTATCCTGATTTTGTGGGTTTCTTTGTACATATCAATTCCTCTATATATTTGGTGATTCTTTTTAATAAAATTACACTTAGAGAACATTGTTTTTTATCTCTGTTTTCATGGTATCAGAGCAAGGTTTGCTCTTGTTTTTTCTTTTCTGATGGCCAAAACAGCCATAACTGGTGCCTCTCAAGAAAGTAGATCAAAGGTAACTTCTGAACCAATTACTGCACTTACTCCAAAGTGCACAATTGCACAAAAAGGTAAATATCTCTCTGCTTTGGATGCAAAATCAGATTGTAAGAAGTCTTGGATTATAGATTCAGGGGCATCCGACCATATGTCTGGATGCCATGAATTGTTCTCAACATATAATCCATGTTCTGGAAACCTTAAGATTGCTAATGGATCACTATCCTCTATTGCTGGAAAAGGAAACATTAAAGTTTCTAATATGACACTATTTTCAGTTTTGCATGTTTCTAATTTAGCATGTAATTTAGTGTATTAGTAAACTGACAAAGGACTTGAATTATGCGGCAAAGTTCTACCCTTCATATTGTGAGTTTCAGGATTTACTTTTGGGGAGGATAATTGCCAATGCTAAGGAGTATGAAGGCTTGTACTACCTTGAGGATCCTCAACAAGTGAATAAATAAGCTTTGGCTCTAAATGGTGAATCTGTTTCTGTTTCTAGTGAAATTATGTTATGGCACAATAAATTAGGACATCCTAATTTTCCATATCTAAAAACTCTTTTTCCTTCTCTTTTTAAGAATAAAGATGTCCATTCCTTTCGTTGTGAAACTTGTCAACTTGCCAAACACACTCATGTTCCTAATCATCCATATAGATTTTCTAAACCTTTTTCTTTAGTTCATAGCGATTTTTGGGGACCTTAACGGGAAAACAACATAACTGGAACTAGGTGGTTCATGACTTTTATAAATGATCACACACGAGCTTGTTGGGTTTACTTATTAAAAGACAAGTCTGATGTTCAGGCAATTTTTCAGCTATTTCACAAAATAATTCAAACACAATTTCAAGCCCAAATCCAAATTTTCCACATAGATAATGAGAGGGAATACTTCAACTCAATTCTTGGTGATTATCTAAAAGAAAATGGGATTTTTCACCAAAGTTCTTGTTTTAACATCTCCTAACAAAATGGGGTTGCATTATGAAAAAATCGTCACCTATTAGAAGTTGCTTGTGCCATCATGTTTACTAATAATGTTCCTAAGTTTTTTTTTTGCAGGATGCTATTTTAACAACCTCATACTTAATCAATAGACTTCCAAGTAAAGTTCTCAATTTCAAAACACCATTGAACATGTTACTTGAATCATATCCACAAACTAGGTCGTTTACTTCTTTACCCCCAAAAGTCTTTGGTTACACATCTTTTGTTCACAACAAAAGTCCATCTCATGGGAAACTAGAACCTAGAGCCGTAAAATGTATCTTTATTAGGTACTCTCCTACTCAAAAAGGGTATAAGTGCTATTGTCCATCCACGAAACAAACGTTTGTCCCATTAGATGTCACATTCTTTGAAAATCCACCTCTAGGTATTGTACGAAGGTTTGGGGTAATCTTGTCAAATGGAGGAGCAAGAAACAGCATGTTGTTGCTCAAAGTAGTGCAGAAGCAGAATTTAGAGCTCTTGCACAAGGAATTTGTGAACTTATCTGGCTGAAGAGACTTTTGGGAGAATTGAAAATGATAGCTGAGTACCCTATGAAACTGCATTGTGATAACAAGGCTGCTATAAGTATTGCTCCTAATCTGGTGCATCATGATCAAACAAAGCATGTGGAAGTTGATAGGCATTTTATCAAAGAGAAGGTTGATATGGGAGTGATCTATATGACCTATGTTCCTACAAAGCCACAAGTAGCAGATATCCTAATGAAGGGACTACATAAACCAAGCTTTGAGACTCTTGTTGACAAGCTGAGAATGATAAATATCTATTCTCTAGCTTGAGGGGAAGTGTTGACAGATTATGTATCAAATCAGGATCAATTTCCTGATTTGTTGGGATTTATATTTCTGGTCTTTTATTTGTTTCTGTGCTTGGATGATTGTGTGCTGATTTTGTGGGTTTCTTTGTACATATCAATTCCTCTATATATTTGGGGATTCTTTTTAATAAAATAACACTCAGAGAACATTGTTTTTTATCTCTGTTTTCAATTAGAAGAGTATTTAACCTGTTAGGTTGTCAACCAACACATCAATTGATTCATTTCATAAACCAAACCCAAATATCTATTCCCACCTCAATCCATGATGCCATATAGAGAAAATATTAATCAATTCTACTATACCTGCAAAATTGGAATCGTCAGAAAGGAGTAGGAGACAAAGTGCAGAGATGACTGATGGAAGAGCACTGCAATTTATGCCAAGAGACTGCTGGAGATAAAAGACTTGGGCTGCTAGCATCTCCTCAAAGTGAAAGCTACTTTTACTGCCTTCTTTATCCCCCTTTGCAACATATTCCAACAAAGACCAAAGAGTTTTCAAGTTTGATCTGTCTGAAAACGTGGCAGTCCAATCATTAAAATTCCAAGAAAGCTTCCCATGAATTATAGAAGCAGTTAGCCAGCGTAAAAGTTTCAATGTTAATGGCTCCTCATGTGATGCCTCCTCGGAGACTACTGGGAGGCAGAGACCAGATTCATTGCACTGAAACATTTTTCTAGACTTGGACTTCAAGGCAGTAGAAGTAGCCCACACAAGAAAACTTGAGAGCTTCTCTCGATTCTGCAAAATACATCCAAATTGAATTTATTGTTTAGTGAAGGGAACAAGGCAAATGTAGCACAATACTGGGAAAAAAAAAAAAAGAAATAACATAAGAAAAAATGGATTGAAAGAACTCCTTTCTCTTTCTCTTTTTTTTTTTTTTTATTCTTTCCTTCTGTCTTCTAAGCCAGATATTGATTTAAAAAACTCAAAAACCGCATTAAACTAACTCAATAAGGTCAAAGTATTAGACAACTTGCTATATAGAGGCATAAGGTACTAATAGGTAAGTAGCAAGTCAAGAAACAATAAATCCCACTTCTCTTTTATTCTTAGAGCCGATAGGGAGTTGGTCAACAAAACTTATGAGTAAAAATGTTTTTCCTGTCCCCCATTTTAAAGAAAAAGAGATAAAAAGGGACCTTAATCAGCATAATTTATAATTTTACAAAACTATTTGACATGATAAAACCAGTCATAAAATTCTCCATCAGGATATATTATACAGATACATAAGTACATAATATTCATCAAAAAAGGTATATAAATAGAGAGAGAGAATAACCATGCAAAAAATGCCAACCGGAGGTGTGCACATAAGTATAGCTTCAAGCCCACACTCGGCATTTGCAGTACTTCCAATGCCATGCTCATTAACAGCCAGAGAGATTTCAAACAAAACCTCAAGTGATAGGGAAAAATGAGGCTGGTATATTTGCCTTTTGTGGGATATCTTTAGAGTTGATATGATAATCTGTAAAGTTGGATTGATGAAAGCAGCATATTCATTTGTCACCTTCATGCCACCAACAATAAGTTTATATAGATGAGATACAAGTTCCATCAGCTGTTCAAGGGCACAGCTTTGCAACCATTCACTGATATCTTTTGATGAAATGACCACATTAACAATCTAAATCAGAAAACAGAAAATTAGTAAATAAAGCATTTAAGTTAACATTTAGCATGTCCAGAGAAAATATGTGTCATTAAAGGGTCATACAACTATGAATAGTAATTTAAGTAATAGGACTATTTTAAGTAATATTAAGACGGTGAAATTCAAGCAGCAACCATATTGTTTGTCCTACCATAACTAATGGAAAAATAGCAATTTTTTTAAGAAACATTTTCCAACATAGAGCAATTCTGATAGTTCATATCAATGATGGCAAAGATGACAACACTAACTCAGTTTAAATCACAACGACAACCTTGAACTTTTGCTAAGTCAGAAATCGGTTTTATATGGATTGTGAAATAGAGAAACTACATTCACCTTGCAATACATGGATCACACACTCATTCATTTATTTTGATACTATTCCAAAGTTTGCAGTAAAAAAAAAAAATGTATGGCTAAATGTAAGTCTTTGAAAAAAAATAAGTTTCCCATTTAGGTGGACTGGAGAAACTGCACTTAAAACCAATTTTATGGAACCTTACTAATCCCCTAAAACAATCAACAAGGACACAGCTTCTACTCTCTGATCTATGTGTCATTCATGAGGAATAGCAATTACGTACGTAAATGGTTACCTACTCTGTCCAAGGGCATAGCCACATAGTCTGAGAGTGGGTAAAATAACAGCATTCACCTTGCAAAAATTATAAATTGTATTGAATAAAATATTAACCTTAGTAAGTTAAGTAAAAAACTTAAGTGAATGGGGTCAAAAAGTAAATTTCATCTTCACTTAACGCTTCAGTTAGATAATTTTCTTTCAATTATAGGTATGACAGTCAAAGTAGATGTCGTAGTTCAGACTTTAATGTTTATAATAACACATTCTAAAAGAGGTCATTCACTGACCAACTTGGAAACCATATACAGTAACAGATTTTGGCTTATACCTGTTGAAATTCTTTCCCCTTAACTTTTTTGCCACCATACTTGCCCACTGTTCTTTCTCTTTTTATGTTTCTTTTAAATTATTTTGAATTTGTATATAAGCTACAAACTGTGATCCAAATTCATGAGAGTAAAATGTGGCAAGAATTGACCCAAACTTGCCTAAAGGCCAAACCCAACATGACCTGGTCCGAACTAACTTCAAAGGCCAACAACCTAAACCTGACGTTGAGGTGTGAATGAATGAGGAATTTTGAGATTCTGAGTGAAATTTAAAATGATGTCATTTTAAAATGCATCAATTTAAAATACAATATTTAAAATCGCGTTGTTTGAATAATTACTTTTCATAATGAAATTTTGAGTATTGCAATTTGATCAAAACAATAAAAAAAGAAAAGTATAAAAGAAGAATAATGATGTTAGAGATAGAAAAAGAAAATATGGAAAAATATGGTATAAAAGTGTCACTAGATTTGTAAAAGAGTGCAGATGTTAGTGATAATATTAAAAAGATCAAGAAATATATTTAAAAATGAGTTTGTAGTAAGAATGTAAGAAAATAAAAGTTACATAAAAAAGGAAAGAGAATAAAAGTTTGTGTTACTAATAAAAAATAAGGAATTCACCAACGGTGTCATTTGAAATGAGAAATTTGGGCATTCAAAACCCCTTATCAAAATTCAAAGACTTTTGAAAATTCCAAATTTTATTTTCTGAAACAATGAAATATTATTTCTGGAATTTTAAATTCTTTCAACGAATGAAATCCCTCTTAATCCTCATCTAAATGCACTGAAAAATGAACCTGCAGAAACAACAAAAAAAAAAAAGTCAAAACCCATAATGACCTGAAGTCCCAAACCCAGAATTCCAGACCATCTCAACTCAAACCTAACCAGACCCACCCTGCCCCCCAATTGTCACCTCCAGCTAAAGTGGCAACAGACCATTGGGAACTTTGGGATTAAATCATTCAGCAGAATCTGGAAGAGAGACTATTTATCCTTTACAGACATTTATGATTCATAACCATACAAGAAAAGAGAGTGAGCAAGAGATGACGAACAAGGGAAGTCAATTCGGAGAAAGGAATTTGCTATAGATCTCTACAGAATTTTCAGAGACATCATCTCATAATTCTCAAGAAAAGCTTAAAAAAGTCGTGCCTACATGATAACCTCCTTAAAAGCATGAAAAAAGACCTAGTTATTCATAATAAAGTAGGCATAGTCATCAAGATAACTGAAAGCCTCAGAATCAAGGCCAAACACATGGTGCTAATGATGATAAAGAAGGGAGAAAGCAGAATAGGGGCCTAAAAACTAGATGTCATGAATTTTGCAGGAAATAAAATACTTAAAAAATTTCAAGGGAAAAAGGCCAGCATCCTAAAAACTGTAACATACAAGAAGGTTCCAGCACATGTCAATGCCAAACGTTATGGTCCAAAGGTCATTTTACCAAAATTAGCAAATATATATATATATATATATATATGAACAAAGGTTTGCAAAGAAACAACTATAGAGCATTTAAAGAATATTTCAAAGAAACACAAAGATAGAGCTATAAAAGGTAATCGAAAAATCCGGAAACCTTCACATCACACCCAGCATTGAAATCAATGCTACAAAAGATTTTATTCAAGGAAAAAAAAGAGATAGAGCTGTTACAAGCTAGAAAGTAGAAAATTTGGAAATAAAAGCAGAAAATAACAAAGATAAATAAATTAATCCGCATACAGGACACTGTTAATAAATTGTAGAATCAAGTGGAAGCAGGTAACTACCTCTATAACCACAGCCAGCTCGGTTAAGAAAATTTTCTTATTATCTCCAAGCAGCACTCTGCCATAGGTTGAGAGAATAGATGACAACCACGAAAACAGACTGCACTGTTCAACCAGATAATGAGCCATTTTATGAAACTCCACAGACTTTTTTAGTATCTGCAAAGCAAACAAGATAAAGGGCCTTATAAGGCAAGCTCATCAACAACAGTACCAAATCTGGTATTAAAGTAACTTTGGCATCCACATTTTTCAAGCATAGAATTTGTTCCACTTACATTGGCAGTAATTGTTGAACTTAAATGATATTGAATAAAGGAAAGAAGACTAGTTAAGATTAAAAGCAACAATCTAATATCATCTCTGAAATGATAGACTACCAGCTTAAAAGATTCACAAGATAATGGGCCAATTTGACATCTGAGTTTGTCACAATGGTAGCAGTCTGAACATAAAGATCGAGAAGAACAAACTGATAGAAAAATTCATAGAGCATTAGCACTAAATTACAATACACTTATAGCATCATCATAAATCCAGAATCAGCATCAACAAAATATATTTCCTCTGTTCCAAAATAATCCTCCTTCTATTTTTGGGATGTCTCAAGAATTGCTGCAACCGAAAGCCAAAGGCTAATTATCTTGTAGATGACACATATTATAGTAACATATTTATCTCAATTAATCATTATTTATGTCCCTACAATTAAAAATACCATATCTATATTGCCTATTGTTGTTTCATATTTATTTCTGATAGCCCCACTGTGTATGACTCCCATTAACAATATGGCAGCATGAGATTCTTATTATTGTTATTATGATTAGCTTTTTCCATGACTAATTGAATGAACCAGAAGAACAAACAAGAAAACTCCGGCTAGCAGGAGAAATGATGAAACCGTAGCTTGATTGGCTGACTTCTCAACTGTAGGATTCATTAAGGAGAATCCTTTTTCTAACCTTAACCTATCATAGGGAACTCAAATGTTCCCAACCATCCTCCATGCCACACAAATTCAGTACACATTTCATTGAATAGATAACTTTCATCAGATCAATCATATTAGCTGAAGGGGGAGCTCCTTAGGTTCCTGGTAAAACCATGAAATAATGTATTAAAATTGTGGACTTGGCATTAAATCCACCTTGAAATTTCCCATACTATGTCAGCAATTTTGACACATTGTGTGATTCTATTGGGGAACCTAAGAAACTCCACCTAAACCTTACATTTATCCCAATAATATGATATAAATTCTTACTCACATCTTCATTTAATTAATATTTTGGCTCATTTTCACCTCACTTTTTTCTCTCTAAAATTGAATCTCTCTTTAGTCTCTTCAAAGCCCTACCTCTAAGCCTTAATCACTCGGTTTCCATTCATTTCCCATTACATCATTCATCCCATATTTAGAATATTCAAACCACCAAAGCTTTGTACAAGTACCATACCAATACAAAACCTAATTCTTCTTCACCTGTCACCACTCACCACACTTAAGTTCTTCCAGGATTGCCCAACTACTGTCTTCTTTCCCTTTGATATATATAACACAATCTAAACTTTAAAGAACCCTAAACCACAAATATCAAACTTCCAATACACGCTTCTTTACTAAAACCGTTCATCATCTTCGTATAAATAACCTATGTTACTCAATTTCTTATAGTTTAGAACTTAAATATACTGCCAATCATAATTAGTGTGAACTTATTTAATATTTTCTTAATCCTCAAGCTCTTTCAAAGCAGAAATATATAGGGACATAGAGACCCAAATCAAATTAACAATAAGAATATAGTATGATTGTATCAGTGACAAGATGATAATGTGTGAAAACTAAATTTACAGAAAAAGTGACAAGGTTCAACATTTTCAAGAAACAGGGCAATGAAAATAATAGGCTAATGAAAATATGATACAGGAGTATATAACAAAACAGACAACCAACCATAACAGCCTAAATATTACCTGAAGAATTAGTTTCTTTGACTCAATATCTGAAAGAGGGGAAGCATAAAAACTCATCAGAGTCTCTAGAATAGAGCTCCTGATATATAACCAAGCATCATCCTCTAAATTAAGCCCTGCATAAGCTAGGTGAAGTATCCAGAGCCGCTGTGCCCTAAAGTTAACAGCTTTACTATGGAAAAAATCATGGAATAAGGGTATTTGCTGCAAACACAAATGAAGCATACAAAGAGTTAGTTACCATATAAAGTAATAATTAGAAAAGAGAAAGAAATTAGAAGAAGCATATTTAACAAAAGGTTTTCGGCATTTTGCAAAACTTGGTGATAAACAAGTACCTTCATAGTTACCCTAGAAGAGTCCATCAAAAGCTTATTTAAGGTTGAATAATGTTCATGTAAAGGATCCAACAAAATCTGCGATGTCTCTGCAGAAAAAATAGCTACAACAGAAGGGATTCTTTGCCATGGTTCCTCTATTCCATTTTGCATATACATCAACAACAGGTGAAGTCGCATAACATCTTTTTTCTTCTGACACCCCTGCAATAATTAATTTGAACCTTGGATAAAAATTTCTTACTAAAAATTCTATGCAATTAGCAAACTTACGCACAACAATTAGTCAGTAAAACATAATATCCAATGTTGATAATATCTTAGCCAATTAACAGCTTAAGTTCTAGTCTACATTCAATTACCAATGTTTAGGGAATCCACTTCCAGAAAGAATTATTAATACAGGGAAATCTCATAATTTTCCAAATTTCAAGCATTGTGGAACCATTGAACTGAAACAGGCAAAATTGTGAGACAGCCAAGGAGTAACTAACTAAGAGGGGCAATTTACTTTATAAAAAGGTTTATCAGTTAAACTTATGTTAATTACTTTTCAAAGTAATTATGTTTCCCTGTGCTGGTGAGAAGCAAGATGATTCGAATTGTGCGAACTTCATCAGACTGTTCATCAGCCAAAAAAAAAAGATCTGACACAAGGTTTGCTTTCTGCCTGTCTGTAAAGACTACACTTTGAAGGCAACATAATTTTGCAAGCCACTTAGAAGATCATTTCGATAAAAACAAAAAGGACACATTTATGATCAAAAGCTTAAGGTATGTGGAGAAAATTATGATAATTATAAAACCCTAACACTTATTCTCCCTTTGAAAATTTTTATAAGACACACACATATCTACAACTATTACTCTATAACTATTAAGAGGACAGATGTTAAACCACCATAGAGAAAATTTTGTAAAGTGATTTGATGTGTTGAGAGAAAATGCGTGTATGATAAAAGTGCACACAGAAGAGGCATTGGAGACGATGCAAGCTGCAGTTTGTGGAAAAACCCATGTTGAGAGACTTGCCATGAAGCAAGGTGGCTATGGATAGACTCCTTTCCCCCAAGAAGCAAACTATGTTTTACAGAACATCTCACCTTGATTGGTTCTCTATTAATATCAATGGTAGGTAAATGAGAAGTTTGGTGAAAGGAACTGACCTATGTTTGCAAACATGATGTGGAAAAACACTTATTTACAGCTGGTTGTAATCTTGTAATCTGTATATTTATATTTGTATCTCTAGAATTAAGTATTTGTATCCCTAAAATTAGGATAGACAATCCCTCAATTATAGGATTAGTGTTTTAAGAAGATTTAGTTCCCTAGTTTAACTGCTAGTTAGTTGTATATAAACCTAAGATTCTTGTATAATTCTCAATAAGCAGTTTTCCAACATACATTCAGTTTCCACACTGATTTATTTCTTAGTTTTCCACATGGTATCAGAGCTTTAGGCTCTTCTTGGGAAGCAAAATTTTCAGCCTTCATTGCCGACTTTTTTAGGCCTTCATTGCCGAATCCTGTTTAGGCCTTCATTGCCGAACCCTTTCAAAGAAAGATATCACTACCACCCAATTTGAGGAAATGTTAACTAGAAAAATCACTGGAGTACTACAGATGTCTTAGAAACAAGGAAAGTTCGACAGGGAAGAGATTAAAAAGCTGAGAAACTTATTGAAAATCCTTGAAAAGCCTACTGTGGTATGTTCTTTGGGTAAGGTTTCTAGTTCAAGTAAAGCTTCCGGTTCTCATGGATTAAATGTCTCGGCTAAGCCTATTACGAGTTCTTAGGTCATTGACTCAGGAACCACAGACCACATGACACATTCCTCACAAAAGTTTAATACATATAACCTATGTCCTAGTAATAAGAAAATTGTTGTTGCAGATGGTTCACTTACCACAGTGGCAGGATTAGGAGATGTTCAAGTTAATCCCTTGTTTGTTCTCAAAAATGTTCTTCATGTTCCTGGATTGTCTACTAATCTGATATCTATACAAAAACTTACCAGAGATGTGAATTGCAAAGTAACTTTTTATCCCACTTATTGTGAATTTCAGGACCAGAGTTCGAGGAAGATGATTGGACTTGCTAAGGAGAAAGATGAACTATACTATCTTGAGACATCAAATAACACAAGTAGTATCAAGAATAGTTTACCTTTGTCATTTCTTTCTGAAAAATCTTCCAATAAAGACAAAATCTGACTTTATCATTTTCGTCTTGGACATCCTTCTTTTGGAACCTTGAGAAACATGTTTCCTTCTTTGTTCAAAGGATTAAATGTCGAAGATTTTCATTGTGATGTTTGCGAACTTGCAACGCATAGACGTGTGTCTTTTCCAATCAGTAACAAAAGAAGTTATACTCCCTTTTACTTGATTCATAGTGACATTTGGAGTCCCTCTACAATTCCTAATATTTCTGATGCGAGATGATTTGTTTCATTCATAGATGATTGTACCAGGGTCTCTTGGGTTTTTTTACTTAAATCCAAATCAGATGTGAATAGTGTGTTTTTAAGCTTCCAAAACATGATCCAAAATTAATTTGGAGCGAGAATCAAGAGATTTAGGTCTGATAATGCAAGAGACTACTTCAACCAGAGTCTATCTACCTATTTCCAAAAAGAGGAGATTATCCATGAGTCATCTTCTGTTAATACTCCACAACAGAATGGAGTGACAGAGAGGAAAAACAGCCATTTACTAGCCACAACCCGAGCCTTTCTTTTTCAAGCAAATGTACCTAAATTTTACTGGGGGGAAGCTGTTCTCACTGCCACACATATTATAAATAGGTTACCTTCAAGGGTTTTGGGATTTAAAACTCCTACGGAACTACTCTCACAATTTTATCCCAACCTCAATACCACAAACAATCTCACACCTAGGATATTTGGTTGTATATCATTTGTTCATGTTCACAGTCATAATAGGGGAAAGTTGGATCCAAGAGCGATTAAGTGTATTTTTGTGGGGTATTCTTCAACTCAAAAAGGATATAAGTGCTATCATCCTCCTACAAAAAATTCTATGTGTCTGCAGATGTCACTTTTGAAGAAAATAAACCATTTTTTACTCAACCTTATCTTCAGGGGGAGACTTCATTCATGGAAGATAAGGATAAAGACTTCTTTTTGCTTGATTTACCCCCTTCTTCAACATTTACACCCATTAATTCTTCTGAGTCGAAACCTGTTTCTGCTGAGCCCAAGTCAAACACTGAATTTGAGTCTGAACCCATTCCAAACACGAAAGATGTGACAAAGGATAATATTGTTCTTGATTCTATGAAGGAATTACAAGTGTACTCAAGAAGAAAAGTTCCAGATCCTGAACCAGTGCCAGTCCAAGAACCTGATCCTAACTCTGGAAATGAGGTAACTACAGTTTTTGACTCTGTTTCTCAAAATGAGCATGAATCTCCTAAAACTATAACTAGTGATTATGATCTGCCTATTGCCATTAGGAAAGGAACCAGAGAATGTACCAAACATCCACTATACCCAATCTCTAATTTTGTGTCATTTGAAAAATTCTCACCATCCCACAAAAATTTTCTTGTGAGCCTAAACACTATTTCTGTTCCAACTACATTATCCGAGGCATTATCTTATGAGAAATGAAGGCAAGCCATGAAAATAGAAATGGAGGCCTTAGAGAAAAATCAGACATGGGATCTGGTAGAGTTGCCTAAAGGAAAAAATCCAGTGAGGTGTAAATGGATTTTCACTGTAAAATACAAGGCAGATGGTACTGTTGAAAGGTATAAAGCCAGGTTAGTGGCTAAGGGCTACACTCAAACCTATGGAGTGGATTACCAGGAAACCTTTGCTCCAGTTGCCAAGATGAATACAGTTAGGATTTTGTTATCATAGGCTGCAAATTACAATTGGCAGCTTCAACAATTTGATGTAAAGAATGCTTTTCTACATGGTGATTTGGAAGAAGAAATATATATGAAGGTTCCACCGGGATTTGGAAGTCATCTAGAAGCAAACAAAGTATGCAGGCTGAAAAAAGCTTTATATGGCTTTAAACAGTCCCCTAGAGCTTGGTTTGGGAAATTTGTCAAAGTGATGCTAGCAATGGGATATAAACAGAGTCAAGGAGATCACACATTGTTTATCAAGCACTCTGATTCAGGGAGAGTCACAGTTCTATTAGTGTATGTTGATGATATAATTGTAACTGGAGATGATGAAAAAGAGAGAATCTCTAAAACAGTGTTTGGCTAGAGAATTTGAGATAAAAGAGCTAGGGAGATTGAAGTACTTCTTAGGAATTGAAGTAGCTCACTCACGGCATGGTATTTTCATCTCACAACAGAAATATGTGATGGATCTTCTGAAGGAAACTGGGAAGCTTGCATGTAAACCTGCAAATACCCCTACAGATCCTAATCATAAAATTGGAGAAGCTAATGAAGATGCTGCTGTAAGTAGAGAGATGTACCAAAGATTAGTTGGAAGACTCATTTATCTCTCACATACTAGACCTGATATAGCATATGCTGTGAGTGTGGTAAGTCAATTTATGCATAGTCCTAACGAAGTGCACCTACAGGCTGTCTACCGTATATTGCACTATTTGAAGGCCAATCCTGGGAGAGGTATCTTATTCAAAAGAAATTCAGAGTTAGTTCTAGAAGCATATACAGATGCTGATTATGCAGGTTCAGTAACTGATAGAAAATCCACCTCAGGTTACTGCACTTTCTTAGGTGGTAATCTTGTGACTTGGAGGAGTAAAAAACGGAATGTGGTGGCAAGATCAAGTGCTGAAGCAGAGTTCAGAGCAATGGCTCAAGGAATTTGTGAACTACTATGGTTAAAGATTATCCTAGAAGACTTGAAGATCAAGTGGGATGGACCAATGAGACTCTACTATGATAACAAGTCTGCAATAAGCATTGCACACAATCCTGTGCAACATGATAGAACAAAACACATTGAAGTAGACCGGCATTTCACAAAGGAGAAACTAGACAGTGGGTTGATTTGTACACCTTATGTATCAACCAAGGGTCAACTTGCAGATGTGTTGACTAAAGGTCTCAGTAGTGCAACATTTCAAGAAATTATTTCCAAGCTGGGCATGAAAAACACCTATTCACCAGCTTAAGGGAGAGTGTGGGAAAACACTTATTTACAGCTGGTTGTAATCTTGTAATCTGTATATTTATATTTGTATCTCTAGAATTAAGTATTTGTATCCCTAAAATTAGGATAGACAATCCCTCAATTATAGGATTAGTTTTTTAGGAAGATTTAGTTTCCTAGTTTAACCGCTAGTTAGTTGTATATAAACCTAAGATTCTTGTATAATTCTCAATAAGCAGTTTTCCAACATACATTCAGTTTCCACACTGATTTATTTCTTAGTTTTTCCACACATGATATGGCTCATAGAGAAGTGGAGGAATAGGGTTATTTTAGCCAATGATAAGAGTTCTAGGGATGGAAAAATTGGAGATCATAGGATAAGTTATTAAAGAATATCTCACCAACTCCATGAGCACAGACAAAAAGGATCCTAGATCAGAAATCCTTCTCCATTCAGTTAAACCAGATTAGGTTGGGCTTAAACTCAACTTTGGTGGTAGCTAGAATTAAAAAACGAAGCTTATGGAGATATTAGAGGGGAATGGGAGAATTGGATAGAAGGTTTTACTTGCTTCCTTGGAGATTGTTCAATTGACGTTGCTGAACTTTGGGGAACATAACATGGAATTTAAATGGCCAAGAGTATGGAGCTGGACAGAGTGGAAATTGAAACTGATTCATTAAGCTCAGTGCCTATGATCAAACAACCCACCCAACTCAAACATCCTCTTTCCCATATCATCCAACCCACCAAAAATCTCTTGAACACCAAATGGACATGGAGACCTTTCAACATCCCTTGGCAAAAGACTTTCATTGCAGACTGGCTAGCCAACAAAAGATTATTTAAACACCCCAGAATCTAGATTTACCAGCAAGCTCCAGACAATCTGAAATCTCTCTTGCTTGCTGACATTGTGGGAGTTGGGTATCCCAGACTAGTTTAATTGTTATTGCTCAGGACCATTGGCCCTCCATTTTACCATAAAAAAGAAGTGCAACAATAACTGATATACAAAAAATTAAACATTCCAGTACCTCCAGTGAAATCTTGAATCTTGAAAGAACTTCATATGCCAATTTTCTCATCCCAACATCAAGAGAAGACATGCTTACAAATGCAACTGCAAGCAAGCCTAAACCAGCAAACTCGACCGGTTCAATATAGCCTGCCGACAAACTATGAATTGAAAAGCGCATGATAAAAACAGGATCATATCGCTGTATTTTTCCAGCACCAGGAGAAGGTGGCTGCAAATATTGAAATTATAAAAATTATCTGTGTTATAGCATAATCATTACATGAAATACAAATGCTAGAGCAACAGAACAAAACTCAAGAGGCATAGACTACACTAACCAAGGATATACCTTAATCACGTCCTTAAGATTATCTGTTGGAAACTTGTTCAAGGATAAAGGCTCATCACTAGCAGTTCTATCAAAAGGAAAGTGCAGCACTGTTGCGGCACATACTTTGGGTTCAACCAGAAGATTCTCCCTGTAGTTAATTTTTCGACCCTCTAGAACTACTTCAGTATCAGTGATGATATCAATAGAAGCATTATGCTCCAGCCCACGTTCTTTTTTTACTTTCATAGCAGCACTGCCCCAAAGGTAATCCATTTCTGCAATATATTTAGATTCCGATGAATCAATTGACTCAATTTCATTCATCAGACTGTATATCTCCAAGTCAATTTCACCAAGTGTTGCACCATAAGAAGACAAAAGCAACAAATGCAATTCTTTAAGATTTATGCCATTATCATTTCTAGAATCAAAACCAGACTGATCAGTGCCAGACTGGAGAAGTGTTCTAAGTAACTTAAGAATTTCTAACTGCTTCACACACATCACAGCTGCTTCCTGGTCATCCTTGCCATCATTCATATTTGAAGAGATATGAGGGATAACAAGCAACCTCAGAATACTAGACATTGGCCTAAAAAAGGTACCGGTCTCCGAGACAGATGATTTAGATATAGAGTGAATCATAGGGCCAAACTGAGAGTGACCAAGCAACATTTGGAGGCATAGAACACGTGAAAATGTTCCCTCTGACAGCAATATGAGGATGCTTCGTAGAATTCTCAGTGTATTGGAATCTTCAAATCTATGGAGGAGGGTGGATCTCATTAATTGTTCTACAAAAGGAATAGATTGCAACTGAATTAGATAACCGTGCATTTTTCTGGTCAGTTGAAGAATATTTCTCAAGATGAAAACTTCCAAATATCCGTACAAGCATAAGCAATCCCCACTATTTGCTATTATTGATTTGGAATACTCTGGAACTAAAGGTAATTTCTTAACCATCCATTGCCATGCACCCACTAAAGCATTCATAAAATGCATTCTTGATGAGTCTGCTTTATTAGATCCCAATATTAATGAAATTTCCTTCAAGCCTCCATCTGTTTCTTCTGGCAGAAACAGCTCTTTATCGTCTTCCGGAAATAACAGCATCCTGCAGAATGATATTTTGGCAACAACTTTATTAATATGGTTCAATGACTTGTTAACTGAACTAAAATCCATTTCAGTAACATTGCAATCAAGCAGTTCTTCATGTGTAGCAGAACTAGCAAAAATGGAATTAAAAAGCTCCAATCGCTTTTTCAGTTTGAAAGAGTCTCCACTTAACAAAAAGTGATATCTCAACAAATTAATTGCTTTCCCCAGAAGACTTCCATCAACCAGATTAAAAAGTTCTTCAGCAGAAGATGGCAAGAACTCACTGTATTCCTCCTGAAATATATCTGTGGACACAAAGCTGTTCCAATGCACGAAACCGTTCAACAGCAACCTTGAATAAAAGGATGGTATACTTTTAAAATGCTGGTAAAAATTCGTCTTAAATTTCACAAAAGCTGAATTTAGCAATGATAAAGCAGCAGGAAGAAGCATCATAAAATCCTGATCTGAAAGGGCATAGCCAGAGACTTCTTTCATCAGAAAGCCATTGGAAAGAAAATTTCTGTTTAAGATACTTAAAAATAATTGCCCAAAGATTGATAGATGCAGGGGACTCATCTCAATAAGAAGATGCAACAGTTTAGCTTTTCCAATGCTGGTTCTAGAAATGCAATGAGAAACTATTTCTACTGGAGTGCTCATTATAACCCTTGACATTAATGCACTTGATGGATGAAGTGCACCATGATGCGTGTTTTTTTGCCTATACACAGAACTAACAGCTCTTAGCAAACACATATCGGCAAAATCCAATTTGAAATTACAGGCAAATTTACAAACTTTAACATAGATATCCTCCAACAGGTTAACATCAAAAGTCTTCTCTTCCACTTCCCATAAGAAATCATATGGTGCTCTCATTATTAGAGGCTGCTCCAAATAAGTGGACAAAACTTCAAAAGCACCACCAGCAATAGAAAAACCAACAGACAGAGCAGACATTGCATGAAAATTTTCAACTGTCAGTTGATTCACATTAATTCTACTAAACATCCAATTCCCCAATTCAAGAAGCCCAAAAGGGGATATAAATCGAATCAAAGCATGTAAAGCACAAAATGATGAGAGAAGTGGCTGCAAATCTCCACTAGCACTGCACACGTCAAACCTGTCCCTCAGGTCTAGAAACAGCCTTTGTACCAGGGAACTGAAAGCCCTCTGAAATGTCCTCCTTGGCCCATCTTCAATGACAGAATAATGGCTTTTTGAAAAATATAAGTAGTACTCTAAAGTTGCAGTCAACAGATCCAGGACATGACGATCTAATTTATGAAGTCTCTGGCTAGATAAACTCAGAAAAGTCTCCAAACCATTCCCTAAGAGTCCTGTTGTCACCAGACTCACCTCCTTATTACAGCTCAAAGGGCAAGTCAGCGATGCTATCACTGCCGGATGACATAAGATAGTTTCTGCCACTTCTCTTATGGTTTCTGCTGACAAAGGAACATCACTATCCATTAAACATTCAAAATCAGGCTTTAAAGCCAACAGTTGGGAAAACATATCCTTTACAAGAATCAAGCACATATCAGAAAGTTGTTCCAGTTCAGTTAACTGTTTGCTTCTATAAGAAACTCGCACACGATAAAACCAAAATAACACAAGGCGCAGACAGGAAATGGGCCCATCACTGGTCCATTCTGACCTCTTAGCCAAAAGCAAGTCCTGCACCTTGGAGTGCTCCGATAAATAAAGGGCATCAGTGCTTATAATTGCAGAAAATAGCACGTGAAATGGAATCTGCTTCAAAAACAAACTAAATGCTGTGGTAGCTGATTGTATCGTATCTAAATCAATGTTAGAAATCATTCCTTCAGCATCATCATTGCCTTGTTGATGGATCCTTGTCAAAGCCATTTCCAGACCAGGAAAAAACACCTCAGGCCATAAATTAGAAATACCAACAAAAAAATTTTGCTCACTAAATATTAATGATGATAAAAGTAGGACAGCTACACCAAGCTTCAGAGAAATAGTCATTACCAAAGGAAAATTCATTAATATATCCTCAGGTGCCGCACATAACGTTGCAGAATAAAAGGCCTTAACTATTCCACTTAGTTCACCTTGATGCTCATTTCTAATAATTTTTTTCACTTCACAAAGTGTATTTGCAAACGAATTATCATCAAGGATAGCAGTTTTGTCAATTGAAAGATAGCAATGAGGTCGTGGATACAAAGCATTTTGTGAAAAGTACAATAAGCTCTTCAATGGCCTCCACTCACAAAAGAAATCCCCAGAATCATAAACCATGGAACAGCGATCACCAAGTCCCTCAGACAAAACTGATTGAATTAAATCAGACAAGAGTGCTGCATCTACCTAAAATTTCAGTTATCTTAGAAAATCACATATAGAAAGTTTTCTAGCATAAGCTAAGTGCAAAATATGTACCTGTGTCTGCAAGAGATACTTCAATGTATTGCACACATACAATGATATCATTGACTTCTCAGATAATGAAAAGGTTCCGGATGAGGAATTGAGCAATCTTAGACATTTATTGAGGGCACATATAATGAGAAGGCTAAAGTTAGGTGATATACCTGCAGAACATGAGCAGTGGCTTCAATAAATAATACTGCCATTTATCTCAAATTTTGAGGGACAGAAAAATCTTGAACCACAGATCAAAGTCTCCTCCCAACTTATTTTACATATTTTTTAAAAGAAGATTTACTTTTAAAAGTATTAGCAAAGTCACCATAATTTTAAATTTTATCAGTGAAACCTTATCAATTGACACAAAATCTGACAGTCTCAAAACATCTAATGTCTTAAACCCTTAAAAGATTATCTAGATGTTGAGTAATTGATATTTCTACTATCAAATACTAAACCGGAACCAATTTTCTGCTAAGCTTGTTAGTAAATATTGCTAGTTGCAGAATCCAAAAAATGGCATGCTCTTGCAATAAATGCAATAACTTTATCAACCTCATATAAGTTGTTACTGCCCAAACTAAAGAAGAAAAATTGTAGCTATGGTAATCAGGTCATAAAAGCTGATCTTGGTCTTAAAGTATTTGTCAATAAATTGAACAGGAATTAGGAATACTTTGCATAGAGTTAAATATTAAGAATAACTAAAACAGACAGAGCAACAGAAAGAGAAACAGAAAGAGCAATAACAGAACTACTAAGGCAAAGACTGAGTCCTGCATATAATAGACCATTATCTATTTATTTTGTAATGCTATAGAGCTACCAAACTGTTCACGAGGGCAAATTTTTGCTGTAAAAAAATTTATATATGTTTTAAGCTCACGGCATCTCTCAAAAATTCTTGAAATAGCTGAAAGATGGAACAGCTTTGTTCACCAAATTCTTGAAATACTGGAAGAGAAGGGAAGCAAAAGTTCCCCATTTGATTGCAGATCATTCAATATTTGAACAAGCAATCTCAATGACAAACAGCTTAAAGCAATATAAACCTTGAAGTTTAATGCATCTATTACTAGAATCATAAATATACAAACTCCCCTTGTCTCTTTATGTTTGTTGCCATTTGACTTTTATGTACATTAATGAAAAAAGAAGCCTTAACTTTAGCGCATTTTTTATTAAAATATTAAAATTTTTATAACATTCATTTATAATGCTTTTTAATACAAAAGGTTAAAAAAATATAAAAATAAAAATTGCAAAAAATAAATTTGAAATACTTAAAGAGTATTGGGTGTTCAAAAATGGAAAAGGAGCAATTTTGGGATACCCCAACAAGGAAAGCTGGACAACGAAAATTAGACAGAAGAGTACGTCCTATTAGTAACTACAAATTCCACTTACAAAACTATGTATGCAAATATAACAATGTAAGGTCAACAAAAGGATATAAATTACTAGCTACCTTTAAAGCCTTTTAAGCGGGATATGTAACGCCGAAATATATCCCAATGTTTGAACAGATTATTCCCAATGGTGGAAATAGCATCACCTAAGAATGAGACAACAACTGCAGAAAGGCTCTGCAGCACTTCTACTCCATGCCCCTCAACAGAGGATTTATTTCTGCCATAACCTGGCAAAAATAAGAACCATGCATCAATTTCACACGGGTTTCTGTCAAAGGCACCAGTACTCAACATAGCTGCTCTTGCCAGTAAATATGCTTGATTCTTTATGTCACTATTTGGTGAAAGAATTAGCAAGTTAACGAACATCTGCAGATGCTTGTACATCAGCAATGGGATTCTATTAAATTTTCTGTTCGCTGGAGACCATCCTATGTATTCTATTAGCAAAGACAGAAGAGAGCGCTGAAGATCTATTGGCAATGCTGATGGACTGCTCAGAAGATTCATGAAGAAGTCAAATGATCCCTCTAATACAGTAGGTAGAGCCTGCTGCACAAAGTAAAAGAAAAAAAAAACTATTTTAGAACTAAATTACAGTAGAGATCATTCACTTTAGAAGTCAAAATAAAAAAGAATGATAAGCTTCATTTTTCCTCAAAAATGATAGTATAGGTTGATGTATAGAGCTAATCCATGGCACTCATTTAGTGCCTTGACTGGAAACTTCATTATGCAAAAGGATGCTGCTAAGAAAAACCAAACATCCATTAGAATATTTGCTCTGCCAGTTGAACATGTGCATTTTGGTGACATATCTCTCAAACAAGGTTCTATGAATTGGAACTTAAAAGATACATATTCAAAGAACTGAAACTTACAAGATAAATCTTGAGAGTGTCCAGAAGCTTAGAGTAGAAATACATCTCCGCATCTTTTAATTCCATAATAGGGCTGGAGGATAGGTCTAAACCCCAAATTTCTGAAATGACATTCAAAAATTCCTTTTCAGTGCCCAACACATCTGTCACATGTGCATCTGCAACCATGTCATGATCCTCGGGCAAAGCAATGTCAGGACCAGAGGTTATCCCACCTACAATAATGTCTGAATCCTCCTTTGAAACACCAGCTTTCAATTTCTTTAAACTGCTGTTTTCTGAAAACGTTTCTAAACCAGGTTTCCTCTTCAAAGAAGGAATTCTACTGTGGGTACCCAGCGAAGAAAATAGTGTCAACAAGACCTGTGTATTAGGGAGCAAAGTTTGAACCTCATTCTGAATATCTCGCTTCAATGATGCCCAACTTTCCATCATCTGATTCCTCACACAAGAAATGTGGCTCAAAGAACTGATGAAGGAATCCAACAACTTCAACTCCTCCAAAAGAACCCTTAAGGCTCCATGCTTCACAAGAAAATCAGAGTGAAGCAAACCCTTGGTGACTACAGATCTGCTGAGTGGACGAGGACATATGCAATTAATGATATTCTGCACATCTACACTATCAAAGGAAGGTGGATCATGAGACTTAGCGTCAAAGAAACCAAATGGATTTCCCATGGCCACTGAGGAAATCAAGCTTGCAGCCAGAGAAACAGTAGAAAACCTGCAAGTGCTTCAGTTACCATTAATAAATGCAGTAATATAGGAAACAGTATTAACAAGGATAAAGGGCAGGATCTTATGAAAGTGATGAGGAAAACTGACCAAGTAGGTGATGCATGATCTTCAACACTGTATGGGAACTCATTCATATAAGCTGCACCCAAGGATGGTCTCCCCCTAAGAGTAGCCAAAAGTAAGTCCTTATGATAGCCAATCTCTGTTGCTTTTAGCTTTTTCATGACCCCCAATAATCTCTTTGGATTACCCTTTAATGGATTAGGATGTCTCTCCAAATCAGGCATCAACCCATTAGAAGGATCTGTGCATACCATAAGAAGAACAGTGTAGGCCAATTCTGCAGCAACTCCCCCATTCTCCCTTCCAGAAATGTTTACCAGCTGTTCTAAAGTAACACTGCCAAAGAGAACGCTCCTAAGACCTGGGGGCACTAATGACTCTTCTGTGAGAACCCTATCACGCAATGTAGCCAAAATATATGAAACAGTTTCATCATCATCATTCCCAAGGCATCTCAGTACACCAGAATACATTTCTCTCTGTTGCAAGATCCACCTCAACAACCCCGGCTTCCCCATCTCCAAAAATGACATAGCAAACCCAACAAACGACTTTCTAGTCGAATATTTTTTCTTATCAATCTGCTTTCTTTTTTTATACTCTGAAAGCTTAGAAAACCCCTGGAGTTTAAAATCAAATTTCCTGGCAACCTCAGAAGCCAAGCCTGAACAACGCCTAATAACCGATCCCATCAACAAAAGTGCAGCATTTTGACGCTTCCCATCTTTACTATTCAATTCCTTATAAACATCCTCCAACTTTTCATCAACAATCAATCTAGCAAACTTATCAAGCACCCTACTCACACCCAATTTATAATTGTATCTTCTCCCCTCAGGATGACTCAAAATAGATGAAATCAAAGATAAAACATAGGACATTCCAGGTTTCCCCTGTCGAAGCTTCCAAGCTTCTAGAAGCTCCGACAAGGAAGGAGAAGTCCGAACATAAAGATGAAGCAATTCAGCTCCAGCATCAGTTTTGAGCAACTTAACAAACTCTTTGGTAGCATCTGAAAACAATTTTATTTCAATAGAATTGATCTTATGCAATAATTCTTTCAATTTAGCTTCCCGAGACGATTCAAAAACAGATGTTTCAGAAACTCCTTCCTCTTCCTCTCCCCCTCCTTCAAACTCACTTTCAGTATCATTATCACATTCCATAACTGCAACTAAACGATAACAAAATAAATAAATAAATAATGACAATAATTCAAACTAAATTTCATTATTAGAAAAACCCAGTTATTACAGATATTATTATAATTATAATTAAAAAGAACAGAGCAAGAACTAAAGAAAACCAAGAAAAAATTTTAAAAAAAAGTTTCCAAATAGTCATTGAAAATTTCTATAAAGAAAAGTGGGAAACAAAGAAGATGTTATACCTTGCTTATTAGAGGCAGAAATGGGTTCCTCCATTAAAGGGCAAAGTGAAAAAAAAAAAAAACCGAAGCCGCTGAAATAAACTCGACGGTTTTGCCACTCTCTGTCAAAAATTGCAGAGTAGGGTTTAAGAAAGAGAGGGTTTAGGTTAAGGGTGCGCCGGTCTCCTTTTTTTTTTTTTTGCTTGTTTTATTTTTGGGCTGGGCTAAACTTCTTCGTCTTCGGTTTAGAGAGGTCCAATAACTTTAATAGGAATAAACAATATGACCCAATAAACTTTCTTAGATTTCCTACTTTTTCCACCTGTTTTTTATTTATGAAAAAAACAAGTTTTTTTTTTAATTTAAGGAAAGGAGCAAAACAAATTATAATTTAAGTTCTTTTAGTTATAACTATAATCAAATATTACATTAATAATTGAATAATCAAATCATAATAATTGAATAATCAATTAATTAACAAACTAAAACGTAACTAAATAACTAAGCTTAGATACAATGAAACTTAAATCAAGCCTTATTTTGGACTAACACTTTGTATTAATTTAAAAATAATTGCTTTTGACAATTATTTAAATATACTTCGGACAAACACATGATATTATATATTTTATCAAATACAATTAACATTTCAATAACATTAATAATATTAATTTTGTATAGAATGGAGGAAGATGGCGTGTCCACGTGCTACCCTTCTATTCCTCCATTTTTTTATTTTTTATTTTTTGTTAAATATATTTTTTATTTTTTATTTTTATTTTTATTTTTATTTGTTTTTAATTAAATAAATTGTATTAAAAAACAGCCTATGAAAATAGAAATGATGAAACAATCCACATTTAATTAATTTTAAATTTTTTAAAAATATTTATTTTTTTAAAATAAATACAATTACATTCATTTATATATTATCATCCATTAAAATTGGATATAAAAATATTACTTCTCTTATATTTAAAATTTAATTTGAAAAAATGAAAAGCAAGTCTAATTCTAATATTATTATATTTGAATTCATCAATGCTTTTACAGTAACTTTTTGACACATCATTGATTTCCTCTCAATCGATATGGCAATTGAAAGGCATTTTGTTAAGGTTGAAAGCCATGGCGAGATTAAACAAAAGCTTCTTTCAGCGTTAAGAAAAAAAAAAAAAAAAAAAAAAACCTCCCTTGGGAATTATGGGAGTAAATTTTTCCCTAACTCAGTCCAAATATCTCATCCAGCCTATATATATAAAATTAAGTTTCCGGTAGGGGTGACTCATCAAATGTGTTAAAAAGATCAAAGCCAATCCATGTTGTGCCAAATTTGGTGAAGACAAAGCTACAAATGCTGCAGACCAAATCTGAGGAAAGCAAAGGCAGAAGGCAATTTTATTTTGAATCAAATGGAAGACAGCATTAAACAAACAAAATTTTATTTGTAATTTGTAAAGAGTAGTTCTTAAGTTGCTTTCAAGTAGGCCCCTACCCTTGTTTCGTTTATTCCATTGAACAATGCCCTGTGACTAAATCCAGTTCTTTAAAGAAAATTATTCTTTGTAATTGATTAACAAATTTATAAATTAAATGAATCTCAAAACTTCTATGTAAAGCCAAGCTTTTGTCAAATTAGTTTATCTTTAAATTCAATTTTCAAACTCAAATTATCTTTGATTATGCTTTATCAGAAGATAAGTACAAAGGGTCATAGCATTGCGTATCTAATGTCTTAATATAACCTAACCTAAAAACATTTTTTTTTTATAGCAATCGGAATAAACTAGGTTGGTATTAAAAGAAAATGCCAAATGCCAATCACATGAATTTAGAAAACTCTCCCCCAACTTGCTTTTTATATCCACAATTAAACCTTCCATATATCTTGTCTCTAGAAATCCTTACCCAACACACCAACTTCACCTTCATATTCGTCAATGCAATATATAAATATATATATATATATATTTGCTTTCTACCATTTCTTTATTGTCAAATTATCAAATTAGAGGAAAATCGATAACCGTTAACTTGTATATCTTTTCAATTTTGCCACTACAAAAAAAAAAAAAAAACTCGAAACCACATTGGCATAGTTTATTTGTAAAGAAATTGATTACATTATACATAATATAGATTTTTAAAATTAAAATGAAATATAATATTTTAAATAATTTTAGCATCCACATGCCTACTTTATGTGTAGACATAGGACATCAATTAATTTTTAAGATCATATATAACACATTTTTTTACGAACGAACTATTATAATATAATGTTGAAAATTTAGGAAGCAACAAATGATATTTAAAACTATAGGAATCAAAACGATATATGATCTTAAATTGAGGAATCATAGGTGCTATTTACATTATATATAAAAATAAATGAAAATTAATCATGTAAATAGTTATCATAATGTATAATTTGGATACTCAATTGTTAGAAGTAAAATATTTCAAAAATTATGCAAAAACAAAAAGAGTTATCACCAATTTTTTTAAAGCGTGATTTATCACTAAAAAAGTTTATCTTTTTAATAAAATAATAAAATTAATTAAAATTTTGTTAAAAAAACAATTTTGGTATACGAAAACATGATCGAGTTTAAGAATCGGTTACGTATGACGAAAGATTAGTACTCTCACAACATCCATAAATTGGTACCAATTAATAATGCATTATTTTTTATATTGGATAAAATAATTTTAATTTGAAATTTAATACTAATTCCCTTTATTGTTTTTTGAAAAAAAAAAAGAAAAAAGAAAGCAATTTTAGTAAAGTTCCTTATTTAGAAAATATCAAAGTAATCTTTAATTAAAGAATTACTTTCAACTTCTCTAACATTTTATGTAGAATTTGAAATAACTTTTTTCGTTTAAGATTTATCACAACATTTCTTCTAAAATAATAAAATAACATTTTTTGTAAATGATAATCATTAATGACTCTCCAACATCTAGATAGAGTATTAATAATCATATTTCTCATAATATTATTTTAATTTTATTTGTTCAAAACTAAAAAAAAAAATTTAAGAAAACTTTTATGCAATAAAAAAATGAAAAATAATATAATTAGCATTAAACATCAACAAACATATATATATATGCATTATAAATAAGTACATTAATTTTAAAAAAACAAAACATATGTAAATGATTATTAAATGTGAATTTAGAAATCAAATCTTCAAATATAAAGAAATCACATTGACTCTCTAACATTTAGGTAGAATAAGTGCGTTTTTTATATTTAAAAATCTTATTTGATTATTTTTATTATTTTATATTTGTTGTTTTAATAAAATGAATTTATTTTGAATTTGTAGAAATGTATGAAAATTTTTAATGAAATAAAATTTTCTAAATACCCCAATATTTAGATGGCATTTGGGAATAGATTACTTCATAAAAGGTTTTTATGTAAATATTCATAAAATTTTTTAAATATCCCAACATTTAGGCGATATTCGAAATTTAATTAACTTACTTGCATTATATTTATGATTAGATAAATATAATTATACTAAATCAAATTAAAATTAAAATCTCAGCAATTTAATACATTTTGCCAAATCAACAACTCAAAATAATTAAATATGGACTTGTTAAAAAATATGCATGCAAAATAAATAAGCAAAAAACTAAATAAATTAAAATAGATTTACCATAATTTGGATTCCAAACCCAATTTAATAGAAGAGTCCAAAGCAAGTGAACTGAGGCTGGGGCTTTGTTCGCAGCTCTATTCAGTAGTGGGCCCAACGATACCTGTTTGACTATTCTTCTCTTTTGTTTTTAGCTTATAAAAGTTTCTCTTTTTTTTTTTTGTAACATCATTTCATCACCCATTTTTTAAAAAAATTATTCTTCTCCTTACAAACCCAAACCTCCCTTTAAAATAAAGATTCTGATGTCATTGTGTCACCACCATCGCCATGCCCTGTCATTGCTGCTGGCATTGATTGGTGATTTTTTTAGTTGCTGAAAAAGGCCCACAAATTCTTTTACTCCTTTTCTTTCTATTTCTAGCTTCTATTTTTCATGAATCTTGCTCGGTCACCCTAGATCTGAACTCAAATTTATGGCTTTTTATCTTTTTTCGTAGTTTTTCATTGTCTGATTTAGCCAAGATTTTAGTATTTTGTTCTCCTATCATTCCTCTTTTTTTTCACCATTGTCAATTGCCTAAAGGTAGTCGTCACTACTCGCACTACCTCTGTCATTTTTTTTCGTGGCTTTTAAGGTTATTTTTCTTTTTTTTTTTGTTTTTTATTTAAAAAAAAAAAGAATTGACCTCTTTTTTTGTTTTATTTTACAAAGCTTGCTTGGCACTATGTTCCTTATTATATTGGTGAAAACTAATTTTTGTTTGACTTTTTTTTTATTTTTTATTACGGTTTTTTTTTTTTTTACATTGGATGATTGGCTAGCAGTGGTAGCTTTAGGTCTCTAGTGTTGATGCTATTTGGGGTTGGTTCTGAGATTGATCTCTTATGTTCTTCATTGGGGTTGAGAATGGTCATGGGTCAAGGTTTTAGAATTGTTTTGCTAAGGATGTGTAGGCTCTGGTGTAGTTAAGGCTAGGTGGAAAAAGGTATGGGTGAGGGTTCAATGCATAAAGATTCTAGGGGTGTTAGGGAGTTAGCCAAGTGGTTACACTGATAAAGCATGCATAAGGACTATGTGAGGGACTAGATGGATTTGCAAGTACAAAAAGGCTGGTCGCGGGGATGCTGTGGTAAGGTGGCTTAGGATTTTTTTTCTTGGAGATGAGTGCTTGGGATTGTGGTGGTTTAATGAAGAGGCATGGTGAATGGTGGCATAAAGTTGCTTGCAATGGTGTGAACAAAAAGTGCAAATGTTGAGATGGTGAAGGTTTGTTTAAGGCTTATCTGGGTTTAAAGGAATAGATGGTTGAGCTCTTGCTAAAAATGGGGGCTAAGGCTCTCCAAAGCTTAGAGTTGAATTTTCGTTAAATGGGGTAGAAGAGGCTTGAGCATCTGTGGAAGAGAAGGGTTTCAATGGTGGTTAGGGTTTGAAATAGGGATGATGTGGGTGCTTGGTGTGTGGTTCTGGTTGATGAAAATGCTCCCTCGGATGCTGGTGCCTAGGTGTTTAAATGAATGTCCCCCCTCTCAAGTCCTGAAGGTGCTGGGTTTATCAAAGAAAATTTTTGTT